TATCTCCATATTATTAATGTTACCATAATTAGTTGTAAATATAGTGTAATGCCAAAGTATGATGAGATGAGAGAAATACATGTGCAGTACTGATTATTGTACTGTGCTTCAAATATTATACAAATTATTCCTTCCTCTGATTTCCTTTATTATTGGATGTAAATGAGTCAGTATAACTGTCATCAGAGTCAACAAATGTCAGATTATATTGAACAGATCTCACAATGATATCGGTGACAGAAAGTTAGTTACCTCTGTCTGTCAGACTAATATGATGTGGGCTGTGTGTGTGTGTGTGTGTGTGTGTGTGTGTGTGTGTGTGTGTGTGTGTGTGTGTGTGTGTGTGTAGGTTGTCTGGCTGTATGGTGACAGAGGAAGGCTGTGGTTTTCTGTCTTCAGCTCTGACTTCAAACCCCTCACACCTGAGAGAGCTGGATCTGAGCTACAATCATCCAGGAGATTCAGGAGTCAAGCTGCTCTCTGAACAACTGGAGGATCCAAACTACACACTGGACAAACTCAAGTATGTGGAGGAGCATATGGGTGTTTAATTTAGATGATTTCTCTTTAGAGGCAGAGAACAGATCAACTCTGGTAAATTAGATTAGATTCTCCTTCACTGTCATTGTGTGAAGTACAGTACAGAGACAATGAAATGCAGTCAGCATCTAACCAGAAGAGCAAATAACAAGAGCATAAATGATGTAAATGTATAAAAATATGTGGGACCAGCTCAGCACAGCTGTGAGGAATATAAGAGCCGGTGCAGGAGTATAGACATAAAGCTGCAGTATACACTGAGTGTAAGGAGCATCACACAGTGAGGTATGTAGTGACAGTAAATTACATCATGTATGTCATGAGCGTCGGTTTTTCACATATCTAGTGAGTTTTGTTCAGCGGGTGAGGATTGGAGTTGAGATGGTTACAGCTGAGGGACAGACACTGTTCCTGAGTCTTCTGGTTCAACACTGAATACTGTATTTCTCTCACACTCACTATCTGTTCATCAGCTACTGCAGCAGAGTTCTCCAGATCAGCCTGAGCTCAAACTCCCCTCTCACCCTGCAATGATATATGCTGGAGGATCTTCTGAGCTCAGGGCTCTCTCCCGGGACAGCATGCTGAACACACTTTATAATCAATCATCAGTGAGGGTGAACTCTTGAAGTGTGTTCAGTGTGTGTTACTGACTGAATGTCAATCTGTGTGTGTTTACAGTCTGGATCATGGAGGAGAGAAGAGGATTACAGCAGGACTGCACAAATGTATGACTACACACACACACACACACACACACACACACACTTACATCACACACACAGATCTTTATTGAGTGTTGTTGTGTTATAAATGTGTGTGTTCTTGTGTTCAGATGTCTGTATCCTCACTCTGGACCCAAACACAGCACACACTGAACTCATTCTGTCTGAGGAGAACCGAGAGGTGAAGCGTGTGTTAGAGAAACAGCCGTATCCTGATCATCCAGACAGATTTGATCATCCTCAGGTGTTGTGCAGAGAGAGTGTGTGTGGACGCTGCTACTGGGAGGTTGAGAAGATTGGAAATGATGTGGATATAGCAGTGACATATAAGAGCATCAGGAGGAAGAGAGGAGGTAAAGAGAATGTGTTTGGATTTAATGCTCAGTCCTGGAATTTGATCAGCTCTCCCTCCAGTTTCTCATTCAGACACAATCACACACAGACTGTTCTCCCAGTAGAGCCGCTCAGCAGGAGAATAGGAGTGTTTGTGGATCACAGTGCAGGAACTCTGATCTTCTACAACATCACTGGAGACACAACAAGGGTCATCCACTCAGTCCAGACCACATTCTCTGAGCCGCTCTATCCTGGGTTCTGGGCTGAGTATGGATCATCAGTGAAACTGAGCTGAAGACTGATGAGAGATTTACCCAGAATCCTCTGCAGGAGCAGTCAGTAGCAGTGAGATGATCTGGAGTCTCTTCTGTGTGTGTGTGTGTGTGTGTGTGTGTGTGTGTGTGTGTGTGTGTGTGTGTGTGTGTGTGTGTGTGTGTGTGTGTGTGTGTGTGTGTGTGTGTGTCTGTCTCTACATTCTGAGTGTTCACACACACACACACACACTCACACTCAGCCGGAACAGTCCTCCTCCTGCACTGTAAGCTGCTTTGTTCAGTTGATCAGTAATGAGATGAGCTGGATCTGATGTCTGATATAAACTGTAGGAGTTTGTCTCTGCTTGTCCTGGTGTCTGGGGAAGTGTCAGTAATATTAGAGCTCTGTGTTAGTTCAGGAATATGGGATAGTTCAGTACTTTACTGATGCAGGGTCCTCAGGCCTCACACACTCACCGTGATACACACGTCAACCAGTGCACAAGCTCAGCCTGTATTTCTCACACTGACATGGAGTAACTCTGTTCATCTTATATATAGAGTGTGTGTGTGTGTGTGTGTGTGTCATCAGCTCAGTAGCCAAAGCTTCTTCATTGTGTTTTATTCTCCTAAAACTGTTCAGATGTCAGAATTGAAGAGTGCAGATCAGCTCAACTCTTCCTGTCCTGAATATCATCTGATACTGTTCAATATCAGCACTGACGCTGAGTCATTCTTATTAAACATTCATACTCTTATGCTTAATGAAATGCTTTATGACTGAAGCCTCATAGTGGTGCAGTATTTTCAGTAATGTTCATGTCTATTTCTGTATAATCTTCCATCTATTGTGTTAAAGAAGCTGAATACTGTGCTCTGCAGTTAATCCATCATCACTGTGGTCATCTGAGTAATTCTGCTTCATCTGAGCATTATTGTTTTACTGTATTGATGTGAAATTAGCTTTATGTGTTCATCCATCTTCATCCGTCTTGCTGTGTTTTCTGATCATCAGATAAGCAGATCAGCTCTGTAGTGAAGTGAAGAGGTGTTCAGTCTGTCAGCTGAAGTCCAGCTCTTCCTGCCCCATGAGCAGTTTATAAAAGTCATTCATGTGTGTTGGATCAGATCAGTCGACTGTTCAATGTGTAAACGTATAGTCCAGACTGAGTTTATCTACTAAATGTGACTAATAGTGTGTCATTTCCCCAGTTCTAGTGGAGCTCTACCAGCTCTGTGCCTCTGATTCTTCAATATGAGAGAATCATTCAGTCTGTCAGAGTTTCCTCCTCCACTAACCCACCATTAATTTATTTTACTCCTGATTATCAGTGGATTATTCTGTTATTATCTGCTTTATTTGTAGCTGTGAAACTGATTAACAATAAAGCTCTGCTGAATATTCACATTACTCTGTGTCTGATTCTTCAGCTGGAGTCAGGGGTTATTGCTGCGGATGTGAAGAGAAGAGTTTACACATGTCATGTTTAGTCAGTAAAACACTTCAGCACAGGGTCCAGCGGTGTTTCCTCCATCATGATCATCATCTCCATCCATCCTCACAGAGCAATTAGAGCACTGAGTTCTCCTACAAGATGGCTGAGCTCCATGTGTTTCTGGGTCAGAGGATGGAGGAGCAGGGAGAGGTGTGCACTGGGGCCTGTGAGTGAGGTGTCTGTGGAGACTGCCTGACACCATTGACGTCTACACTGTTCTTTCTTACTGATGAAGTAGAACATTCTACTAAATATCTCCCTTCTTACAGTTATTTTCCTTGATTTGATATGTAAGAAATCTGCATTTTCTACACTGATCTCACTGGTAACAGCACTAGTCCTACATGTTAGACTGATGTCCAGGTAAACTGATAAAGGTGGAGTGATTTACATACACAAGAGAAACAGTGTTCACTGTAGTCATCTGTGTTTCTGCACTCCTGCAGCGGTGTCCAACTCATCAGACCAGTGGGAAATCTCTAGACACTGTTATGGAGTTCCTCGAGGCAAGACCAGGAGAATGGTCAGACACTCAAACAATCAGCTGTCTAATCTAAGGAGGAGATTAGCGAGGAAACCAACAAGAAGATGAGACTAGTGGCTGGTGTCTTGCGTCTGTTGATGTTGTCTAAGCGCGTGGCAGGGTGTTTACATCGTGGTTCATTATTCTTGTTCTTCAGAATAATGAACCCCCAAACTGAGTGAGTGAGAGAATGAGAATATTGTGAAGGGTTCAGTATTGAAGAGCTCTGGAGACACACTCTGATCAGATAATCAACTGCAAGAGTCTTCACATGCTCTCAGTCGAGTTCTGGAGGACACACAGTCATGAGGAAGACCTGCGCTGATCCCACAGAATACCAGAGACACCTTGCACAAGGAGTAACGACCCAAAAGGTGATCAGAAGAAAGCCCTCGTCTGATTTGACCATGTTTTCAGATTTGACGACATTCTCACCCTGTTGTTCACTTGTTCACTTTATTTTGTGGATTCTGTTTTTGTCTTCGCTGATTTCTGGAACCGCTCTTCCCCAGACTCAAACCCGGATCATTGTCGTCAACATAGTCAGCTCCTCTCTGCATCTCAAGTCCGCCGACGTACACGACAAGCTAACTGGACAAACTGGTTGCAGTGGGAAAGCCCTCCACACGGAGGTAAGCGGTCAGCCGGTAAGCACCAAAGGAACACCGTCATACCGACCCGTAGAGTTTGATTAAAAACTGAAATGCAGCCATACGTACCTCCGGCTACATGATTCTCGGTCTCCAGAAACGTCAGCGAGACTACGTTTTCAGAATGAGCCTGTGTTGGTCTAAACGCCACTCAGACAAATCTGGACAGATTCTTGCTCAACAGGAGAACATTCAGTCACACACACTATAGCATCTGTCCCAATGAGCAAGAGCAGCATTACTGAAGACCAGTCAGACATTAATCCAACCTTTAATCATGTATTACTCTACCTTATACTCATCTGATTATAATCTCCTCTGACCGAGATTCCTCCTTTAATCTTAGCTAATGATCAGACTGAAGTAGATGAGTCCATCAGTTGAGCAGAACTTGATGAAGCTCCTGAACACGATGCTTCATGACACTTCAACACATGTAAATACAGACTAATGCTCCTGTTTCTGACTGATCTGAGGAATCAATGTCTTTCAGTCGTCTCCCACAATCTGTCCATAAATACATTTGACCAAAAGAAGAGAAGCACCTTCTGAACTGTGATCATTTCAACTAATGCATTTATTAAATGTGGAAAACACAAAATCTTGAAGATTAGAGAATATCTTTCCCACCATCATATCATCTTTATGTTTAATGTATAAATAAGAGAACACTGTCATGTTCGTGTCTTATAATAATGACGTCCAGTTGGAACAAGTGTCTTCTTGATTTACAAGTTCAGTCTGCCTGATACAGGGTAAAACTGATACCTGGAGAGGTGTGGTTGAGAGGAACAGCCTCCCTGATCTGAGTTCAGGTAGTGTTCTTGTTTGTGTTGAGACTGAGTGGTCCAGATTCTTTAACTCCATTGTTGACTCAGTCGTGAGGAGCTGTGGCTGTAAGGCCTGTGGTGCCTGTTGTGGCTTCAATCCACAAACCCGGGGGTGGACACTGGAAGTAAGGGATGCCATGATGGGATCTGTCAGGCCAATTGTGCTACAGCCAGGGGGGTTGCGGATGCACTCTGTTAAGAGCTGTCCAGTCCCTGTATGAACTGAGTAGTTTGGCTTGCATTAAAGTCAGACTTGTTTCTGTTGCACATTGGACTCCGGCAGGGCTGCTCTTTGTCACCAGTTCAGTCCATTATTTTTATGGACAGAATTTCTAGACGCAGCCTGGAGCTGGTGGGGTTTTGGTTTAGTGACCACAGGATTTTATCTCTGCTATTTGCAGATGATGTATTGTTGGCTACATGGGACATGGACCTTCAGCATGCACTGACGTGTGACACAGCAGGCATGAAGATCAGCACCTTAAAGTGCAAAGCCATGGTGTTGAACTGGATAACGGTGACCTGTCATCTTCAGGTTGGAGGAACACACCCTGACACCCTGGAGGAGCTCAGAGTAGCGCCGCTGCTCCTCCACATCCAGAGAAGTCAGCTGAGGGTTTCGGATGCCTCCTGGATGCCTACCTAGGGAGATGTAAACTGTATATCTCTCAGCTTGCCTGAATACATCTGAATGCATATAGATTGATTAAATTAGAAATGCAAAACACACACAGTCTGATAGTGTTTTCCTGTAGAGAGATGTGTCTTGCTGTATTGATTGTGTATATTTAAAGTTGCATTCTGAAAAGAACACAATTATAACTGAACAAATGCAGTGTACTGTGGATTAATGATGTGCTCTGGTGCTATTGCAGCGCTGTTGAGCACCAGACAGCTGCAGAACCTTTAGACAAACATTTCACTCCTATCTAAAATTACAAGGATCATTTAGCTATAGCTGACACACAAAACCCAGACGACATCTGATGTTAACCTTTATTTAATGCAGTAATATCACTAGAGATTGCCGATCTTCTTTAAATGATGCTGAATCATTGCTTCAAATTCTTCCCGCTCACTGACAAATGAATAAAGTTATTAGGCTGGCTTGAGGAACAAGCCAGACTACTGAAATCCTATTTAAACTTAATATTTTTTTAATATATTCTTCTTTTTCTAAGACTAAAAAACAAAACGCATCTCCTCCTAGAGCTTTCGAGCTATGACCACCAAACTCACACCAGACCTCCAAACTATTCTTACTCGGTGTGCTATATCTTTTCCGACTGATCCAACTTTCAGGTTTCCGAAAAACGTCCCGGGACCACCGGAAAAATCCCATAGACTTAACATTGGATTAAACTTTGTGACCTCATAACTCTGCGTCAGACTGTCACAGAGACTTCTAACTGAGCTCATTTAGCCACGCCCTAGCAACCACTTTTGGACCCTAGAAACTGTCCCATAGACTTCCATTGCAAAAGACTGTCATTGACTTATTAGATCTAACTTTGTGACCTCAAAACTATCCATCCTTTTCAAACTGCTTTTATCTATCTATCTATCTATCTATCTATCTATCCTGTTTTTATCTATCTATCTATCTATCTATCTATCTATCTATCTATCTATCTATCTATCTATCTATCTATCTATCTATCTATCCATTTTGTTTTTATCTATCTATCTATCTATCTATCTATCTATCTATCTATCTATCTATCTATCTATAAACTACTTTAATCTATCTATCTATCTATCTATCTATCTATCTATCTATCTATCTATCTATCTATCTATCTATCTACTGCTTTATCTATCTATCTATCTATCTATCTATCTATCTATCTATCTATCTATCTATCTATCTATCTATCTACTGCTTTATCTATCTATCTATCTATCTATCTATCTATCTATCTATAAACTACTTTAATCTATCTATCTATCTATCTATCTATCTATCTATCTATCTATCTATCTATCTATCCTGTTTTTATCTATCTATCTATCTATCTATCTATCTATCTATCTATCCATTTTGTTTTTATCTATCTATCTATCTATCTATCTATCTATCTATAAACTACTTTAATCTATCTATCTATCTATCTATCTATCTATCTATCTACTGCTTTATCTATCTATCTATCTATCTATCTATCTATCTATCTATCTATCTATCTATCTATCTACTGCTTTATCTATCTATCTATCTATCTATCTATCTATCTATCTATCTATCTATCTATCTATCTATCTATCTACTGCTTTATCTATCTATCTATCTATCTATCTATCTATCTATCTATCTATCTATCTATCTATCTATCTATCTATAAACTACTTTAATCTATCTATCTATCTACTGCTTTATCTATCTATCTATCTATCTATCTATCTATCTATCTATCTATCTATCTATCTACCTATAAACTACTTTAATCTATCTATCTATCTATCTATATATCTATCTATCTATCTATCTATCCTGTTTTTATCTATCTATCTATCTATCTATCTATCTATCTATCTATCTATCTATCTATCTATCTATCTATCTATCTATCTATCTATTTTGTTTTTATCTATCTATCTATCTATCTATCTATCTATCTATCTATCTATCTATCTATCTATCTATCTATCTATCTATCTACCTTTCTATCTACTGCTTTATCTATCTATCTATCTATCTATCTATCTATCTATCTATCCTGTTTTTATCTATCTATCTATCTATCTATCTATCTATCTACTGCTTTATCTATCTATCTATCTATATCTATCTATCTATCTACTGCTTTATCTATCTATCTATCTATCTATCTATCTATCTATCTATCTATCTATCTATCTATCTATCTATCCTGTTTTTATCTATCTATCTATCTATCTATTTTGTTTTTATCTATCTATCTATCTATCTATCTATCTATCTATCTATCTATCTATCTATCTATCTATTTTGTTTTTATCTATCTATCTGTCTATTTATCTATCTATCTATCTATCTATCTATCTATCTATCTATCTATCTATCTATCTATCTATCTATCTATCTATCTATCTACTGCTTTATCTATCTATCTATCTATCTATCTATCTATCTATCTATCTATCTATCTATCTATCTATCTATCTATCTACACTGTTAAAAATTGTCCCGTTAAAAAACAGTAAAATACTGGCAGCTGCAGTTGCCAGCAATGTACTGTTATTTTACAGTATGTTGCTGTAAAAATACATGGACTACATTGATTTACACAATACTCAAGTGAACTCATTTTGCTCGCTGAAAGCAACTGCCTCAACTTGGTCAACTGCTGAATGAGTTTATGAAGTAATGTGCTATATATGCTTAGAAGCATACTTATAATGATAACTTATTTTAGTTAATTAGAAAAGTTCAGTTTAACTCTAATGTCTTATTTTTCACAACAGCACACATACATGTAAATCTGGAATCACCAGAGAGATTCTGACTGCATCAGCAACTAAACAGCCGCTATCTTTAAATAGAGAAACAAGCAGAATAACATCAGCAGTTCACTGTTCATCTTTAACTCATACACTGGCTCTACTCTCCTCCACAACGGTGACACACAGAAGAAATTAGCTTCAGGTTTTACAGTAAAATACTGTTTTTTCCTTGATTTAACAGTAATCTACTGGCAGTTGTGGTTGCCAGCAATATACTGTTTTTTTACAGTCTATTTTCGTAGTGTAAATTAACAGTATATTACTGTTAAAATACATTTTTACACTGTGTTTTTACCTCAAACACCTTTAACCCTTTAAACCCCAGAGCAAATACTTCAGTTTTTATTGAAGTGTCCACACTACTGAGTGTTCAAGAAACATGTAGCAAAGCTGAAGTGAATTAATTAATTAACTGACTAATTAAATGATAATTGAGGATTAACAATGAACAAATGAAGAAATACTGAAGGGAAAAAACAAGAACAGAACATACAAAACTTTAGTCACAGCTTTATAATGAAATAACCTGAAGAACAACAAATGATTAAATCATTTAAATGATCAGCGGATGATTAAACAACTCTACAAACAACATCACCAGCTACACTTATTACTCAATACATGTATTTTTGTATAACATCTACTAAAGTTCTTCTTGAGAAAAAAGTTAAAGTTTTACGTCACCATCATGGAGAACAGAGTTTGCTTTAGTTGGGCTCTCAGCCCTGTCATTTTTAACATTTATATATCTTGGCTGCTGCAATTGTTAAGAACTTTGTTTGAAAAGCTCCTTTGTTGTGGCAAGCCGGCCAAAAACCTAAATAAGATCTGATGATGTTCATGTTGCTATTAAATGGCAGAGTCTGTTCTCATTTAGTATAATATAATTTACTGCTCCTATTCAATATTAAATCTATTGTTTTACATTATATGTCTATATATGGCAATGATTTCTGGAAGTTTTTAAGAATATCTTGGACAATAACACTGCTCTATGGTGTAAATCGCACTCAAAGAGACATCAATAATCAGCATATGAACCTCAATAATGGTGACAAATTTAACAAAATTAACAGTTTAACTCACAAACAGGCAACTGAAAGTCTAAACATAAACAACAGCAGAATCAAACACAAATAAAGAAAACTGTTAGACCATTATACAACATTTGTTTATACC